GCTCTTAATAGCATGTTGACTTGCACATATTTATTTAATTTGTATGTTAAGATTAGTTTTATATCAAAATGAGCTAAAATGCTAATGTTAACTTAAATGCTACATTACTGTCAGGGCTATCACTAGCACGTTGACTAACACTGACTTTGTCTATTAATAATAAATTTATAAAAACATCTTTTAGCTAAAATGCTAATGTTAGCTTAAATGCTACATTACTACGTGGGCTATCATTAACATGTTTAACGTTGATTCACTCCATTTAGAATCCAAACATCTGTTCAGAAGGTAAAATGAGCTAAAATGCTTATGTTAGCTAAAATGCTACATTACTATCAGGGCTATCGCTAGCATGTTGACTAACGTTTCGTTTGCTAACCTCAGTTGAACTAAAATGCTAAAATCAAATCCGACTAGTTCTGATTTAAGACTTTGGTTCATTGTACCTAATTAATGGTTACTTTTAAATATAAAAGGTCACTTGAAGTGGCATTAGAGGAAAGCTCTTTCTGTGGGGTTAAAGGTCATTTCGTCCTCCAGGTCTCGGCATGCTGCAGATGACTGGCCTGTGCATCGTGGCCGACAAGCTGAACTTCATCCGCTACCTGTCGCACTTCCGCTGCGTCCACAGAGGAGCCGCCTTCGCCAAGATGAGGACGACGTCGGTCAGGAAGCTGCTGCCGGAGTCCTGGGGCTTCCTGTGTCCGGTCCACACGCCGGACGGCGAGCCCTGCGGCCTGATGAACCACATGACGGCGAGCTGCGAGGTCGTCACCGCCACCGCCTACACCACCACGCTGCCGGCGCTGCTCTGCTCGCTGGGTGAGGACACACCGCTGGTTTCTGTTGCTCTTTCTTTCTGTTTCTCTCTATTTATTCCTGTCTCTCGTTCTTTCTTTCCTTCATTCTTTATTTATTTATTTTACTTTCTTCCCTTCTTTTTTTCTCTGTCTCTTTCTTTCAATCTGCCATTTTTCTTTTGCCTTCTTTTTTTCCCCTATGTCTCTCCCCCCTCCAGGTGTCACCCCGGTGGACGGTCCTCCGGGTCAGGCCTTCTCTGACTGCTACCCGGTGGTTCTGGATGGGTCTGTTGTCGGTTGGGTCGAAGCTGATTTGGCTCGGTCCGTCGCCGACTCGCTGCGCCGCTTTAAGGTGACTTGGATGAATATTTCTCATCCTCCTGGTCGTTTTTCCAGCTAAACTTGACCTCTGAACTCTTCCTTAAGGTTCTGGGACAGAAGAAAGTTCCTCCCTGGACTGAGATCATCCTGGTTCCTAAAACTGGGAAGCCCAGTTTGTATCCTGGCCTGTTCCTCTTCACTACGCCGTGCCGCATGATGCGGCCCGTCCAGAATTTGGCTCTTGGGAAGCAGGAGCTTATTGGCACGTTTGAACAGGTAAATTATGCCTTCTTGACATATTTTCAAACTGTTTCTGGGGAACCAGCAGCACTAAACCAGCTTCACGCTGTTCGCCTGCAGCTTTACCTCAACGTGGGGATCCTGGAGGCGGAGATAGAGCCGGGCGTTAGCACGCACCAGGAGCTTTTCCCCCACAGCATGCTCAGCGTGGTGGCCAACTTCATCCCCTACTCCGACCACAACCAGAGCCCCAGGAACATGTACCAGTGCCAGATGGGTGAGTCGGCTGCACCAGGGCTGTCCAAACCGTGGCCCAAAGGCCATTTGTGGCCCTTTGGTTAATTTTCTGTGGGCCTTGACTGGAATTCAAGAATGGCACAAATGTGTCTATTGTAGTATTTTTTAGGATGAGGTTTTTATGTTCTTAAACAGAAAATGTCAAGTACAACATGGTAAGTTTTATATTTCATAATAAGCCAAGCCACAAGCATCCAGCAAGATTTTACTGAAAAACAGACTTTGTAATTCTTTATATCAATTTGTGCCATGATGACAGTTTGCAGTTTGCCGGTCTGGACTGTTTTCTTTGTTATATGTTTATGATTATTATTACTTTATTTATTGTTTATTTACATTTTTATTGTGTGCTGTGCTGGGACGAAAAAAATTTCCCCTGTGGGATCAATAAAGTCTCATCTCTGTGAGCTAAGCTAGTCTGGTGGAATCAACTGTCTCTCTCTCTGGTTACCTAGCAACGCTCTCGTTCTCTGGTTACCTAGCAACGCTCTCGTTCTCTGGTTACCTAGCAACGCTCTCATTCTCTGGTTACCTAGCAACAACCTTCTGGGTTGCTAACACAGCAGCGGTTTAAAGTTTTACTACATGCTTAAAATCTGACTTAATATAAAATAACGGAGAAAACATTGTTGCTAAAACAGGAAAAGTCACCAGTTTTGTTGTATTTCAGAGATTTAACTTTAAGTCCATCCCTAATTTTAAGCCGCAACAATCATAAATAAACCATCTTGGAGGGACAGCACAGCGTTGGGGAATTGTTTAATCGGCCATTTTCCACTGCAGGGAAGCAGACGATGGGATTTCCGCTGCACTCCTTCACGGATCGCTCCGACAACAAGCTGTACCGGCTCCAGACGCCGCAGAGCGCTCTGGTCCGGCCCTACATGTACGACCACTACAACCTGGACAACTACCCGAGCGGCACCAACGCCGTCGTCGCCGTCATCTCCTACACGGGCTACGACATGGAGGACGCCATGGTAAGCGCCGGTTAACGCTCTGGTTTGTGTAGCAGTTTCATCAAGCTGTGGTCCCAGGGTGCCCTCTAGTGGTCTGTCAGGTACTGCATGTAAACAACCATTTATTGGCCGTGACGTCAGCTAAAATGCAACGCGCACAGCTAGCTTACAAAAGAATTGTGTTTAGAAGTAATAATGGGCAAAAAGGCTTAAAGCCGGGTCAGTAACTGATATAAGAACTAATATTCTCATTTCAGGTTATATATATGAACATGATGCGGGGTAGTTTCATGTTAGGTGGTCCGTGTTTGTTTGTTAAACGGGTTAATCGGCCTGAAAAAGTTTGACGCTCCTCAATGTTGTTAGATCGTGAACAAGTCATCGTGGGAGAGAGGCTTCGCTCACGGGAGCATCTACAAGACAGAGTTGGTGGACCTGGCGGACAAGGTGAAGGGAGAGGACGGCGTGGTGTTCGGGGCCAAGCCGGGCGACCCGAAGGTGAACGGGAAGCTGGACGCGGACGGGCTGCCTCGCATCGGGTCGGTGCTTCGGCGCGGAGATCCGTTCTACAGCTACATCAACCTGAACACGGGACAAAGCCACGTCCACTTCTACAGGTCACCGCTTTATGCCCCGAACAAACACTAACTCGTCTGTTTTAAATACTCGTTAAAACCGTCACCATAATGTGATAATTACTGAGAGACGGATAATCTGTGAAGACAAAAGAGAAATCCAGCAGCTGCTGAAATTTGACGCCACTCCATTTTTGTTTACATTTTGCGAAGAAAGTTGTGCTCATATTTCTCCAGAAAGTTTTTTGTTGTTTTCTTCAGTCGTTCTTGGTGCGGTGCCCCCACAGGCGAGGAGGGGAACAAGTTTTTCAGTTTGGTCCATTTGACACAGTGCAGTGGGAAAGAGAACCAGATTTGGGTAGTTACTAGTTAGATTCACTCAACTACAATCACCTGAGTGACTTTTTAAAAAATACATTTCTACAACTTTTATTATGAAGTATTTTTACTCTTACTTTAGTAAAACTTCTGGATTTTCTTTCCACTGAATGAAAAGTAAAAATGTTTTTACCAGAAATTCGCCAGACACTTTTTACCAAACGGTTTTTCAGTCTTACGTGAGTAATTTCTTTTAACCTTTACTTGAGTAAAAATATGTTGTAGTGCTACTCTGGAGAAAATCACAGCAGTCGAAATGTGACAAAAGCTTTAATTTTCCAGATGATCAGATTAAAAACAGCACTAACTGTTTGTTTTGTGTCTGTAGGAGCGAAGAGGCGTGTGTCGTTGACAACATAAAGGTCTGCAGCAACGACACAGGATCCGGTCTCTTCAAACGTGTCTGCATCACCGTCCGAGTGCCGCGTAACCCGATGATCGGCGACAAGTTCGCCAGCCGCCACGGCCAGAAGGGCATCCTGAGCCGCCTGTGGCCGGCCGAGGACATGCCGTTCACCGAGAGCGGCATGAGCCCGGACATCCTCTTCAACCCGCACGGCTTCCCGTCTCGCATGACCATCGGGATGCTGATCGAGAGCATGGCAGGGAAGTCGGCCGCCATGCACGGCCTGAGCCACGACGCCACACCGTTCACCTTCTCCGAGCAGAACTCTGCGCTGGAATACTTCGGGGAGATGCTGCGCGCCGGTGGCTACAACTACTACGGCACGGAGCGGCTCTACAGCGGGCTGAGCGGCCAGGAGCTGGAGGCCGACATCTTCATCGGCGTCGTGTACTACCAGCGGCTCCGCCACATGGTGTCCGATAAGTTCCAGGTGCGCACGACGGGAGCGCGGGATAAGGTGACCAACCAGCCGCTGGGAGGAAGGAACGTCCAGGGCGGGATTCGGTTCGGAGAGATGGAGCGGGACGCGCTGCTGGCCCACGGCTCGTCCTTCCTGCTGCAGGACCGGCTGTTCAACTGCTCGGACCGCTCCGTGGCGCAGGTGTGCCTGGACTGCGGCAGCCTGCTGTCGCCGCTGCTGGAGAAGCCGCCGCCGTTCTGGTCGGCCATGCGCCACCGGAAGACGGTGTGCAGTTTGTGTGGGAGGAGCGACTCCGTGGACTCCGTGTCTGTTCCGTACGTTTTCCGTTACTTCGTGGCTGAACTGGCAGCGATGAACATCAAAGTGAAACTGGATGTGAAGTGAAAGGAACAATCAAAACCCGTTTTCCTCTGCAGCTGTTTATCAGGTAGCGCTAAAGTGAATGTTTTGACCTTTAAATAAAAGATTTTTAACTGTCGCAGTTTTATGACATAATCATTGTTAGTAGCAGCTTGTTGAGCTGAACATTTCAGAAGCTCCAATTCCAAACATTTAAATACAAACTATTTAGTTTGCAAATTAAATATTTTGCTTGCTAATTAAATAGTCACAATATCAAGTTATAACATTTTAATCAGATTAAAATGTTGTTAAAATAACATTTAATGGGAAATCAAAAGAAAAACTAATAAATTAGCATTGCTAAGCCTGGCGGGGGCACAAGTAAAGCCTGGTGGCCCGCCAGGCTTATAGTACACTGAGGGAAACCCTGCATATAAAAGCTTCTGCCTGGAAATGAACGAGTTCAATGAACTCTTCCATTCTTGTTACTTCTAGCTTATTTACTGATCTAAGTTGTATAATCACTCGACCACTGAACAAAAACAGGTAAATAATTAAATCTTCATGTTAACGACTTTAATGCCCACTTTTTGGAGGTAAACTTCAGCACACCTCTTCATGATTCACTCATTGTCGTGTTAAAAAATTGATAAAATATGAAAATATTTGTAAACATGGAGGTTTAAGAAGCAATCTGTTCACATTCACATCACTGCAGCTGTGCCAGGACGGCCGGCAGGTCCAGAACAGACGGGACAGTGAAGTCTGGTTTCACCGGACCGTCCAGCTCAGACCCGTCCGCTCTGTGAATCCACACCGTGGCACGAACTTTGGCGTTAACCCCGCCCTGGATGTCCGTGTCCAGAGAGTCGCCCACCATGACGCAGTCCTGCGCCTCCACCTGTAGCATCCCGAAGCACAGCTGGAAGACGGACGGGAACGGCTTCTGCTCGGCGTGATCTCCGGCGATCACCACGGCATCGAAGAACTCCTCGCATTCGGCCGCCTCCACCTTTTCCCTCTGAGTCCGAGCGTCGCCGTTGGTGAGCAACAGCAGCTTGTACCGGGCGCGAAGCTGCCTCAGCAGGTCGCGCACTTCCGGGGTCAGGCACAGAAGCTCCAGCCGCCTGTTCTTCCACAAATAGTAGCACCGAGAAGCCAGATCGGATGCGGCACTGCTTCCTGTCGTCTCTGCGATGCTTTCCGCCCAGTGGCGCACGCGGATGTCGTCCTGCGAGGTGCCGGGCGGCCGGTCGGGGCTCTCACACAGCAGCTTCAGCTTGAACTTATCACAAATGCTGCAGATTGTGTCGTCGTCCAGGTTCAGTTTGGACTTCAGAAGCTCCCCAGTCTGCAAAATACACAAACCAATAGGTCTAAAACGATTAATTGTGATTAATTGATTATGAAAACAATCATCAACTAACTTAGTAATCAATTAATCGTCAGTTGTACTGAAAATTTCCATTTGCTGAAAGACATTTACATCAAGATGCTTAAGCTTTGTTTGATTCTGTTTGACAGAAATCAGATTAGGGCTGAAACAATTAATTGTGATTAATCGATTTTTTTTTAAAATAACTCAATTTAGTAATCAATCATCAATTGGACAAAAAACAGAACTTTTCTGAAAGATATTTAGATACTCAGTAGAAGAGGACACATACTTTGGTTCTGTCTGATGAAAAATCAAACTTGCACTGAAGTGATTAATCGTGACAATAAAAATAATGAATAGCACAGAAAAGGCGAATTTACATGAGAAAAAACTGAATACTTAGATCTAAAGAAATGTTCCTCTGAGTTTAATTTTTGTTTAAAGAAATTTGCTTGTGTATTCCTGTGTTAAAAAATATATTTTCAAGAACATGAAAAAATATTAAAATAACAACCAGGATGGTATTAAAGTCTTAACAGCTGATTTTAAATAATGTCTTTTTGCATTAAATTACTTCAGCTATTTAGAATGTTGTTTTACAAACATAGATATTAACTGTGTATAATTTGGGTTGTGTTAATAAGCCATCACCTCTCGTGAAAACAAGAGTTTTTCCAGGCTTTTAGGAGGAAAACTCCTCCCTTGACGGTCGTCATAACTCCTTTCCAGGTCGTGCGCCGGCAGTCTGTTAGGGAGCGGACACCAAGTCTTCATTCACTCCCCAAATATCGTTTAAATATCGACTCTTCCTAATTTACGCCGTGTAAATAAGTAAAATACTGCACATGTCAGCGGGTTGTCTCCATAAAGCAAGTAACGCGCAGGTTGTAGACTTCAAACCGAGAACTTTAGCTGGAGACGATCAGCGGAAGTTTTGACTGAAGAGGAAACCGTTTCATCACCTCCTTCAGCGCCTCCTCTCCGGCGCGACTCGTGTCCACCAGCGTGTTGTCCAAGTCAAACAGGATCGCTTTCACAGCTTCACCCTCCATTGCTGAAGCACACCGTCATCCAACGCCAACCAGGAAAACAAACGCAGCTTTGCGGAAGCGGTGCAAAGTGAAGTGCTTCATGGGATTTGTAGTTCCAGAGGCAAAATGACGCATTTTCACAATTTTTCCTCTAGATGGCGCCACGCTAATAGATAGATAGATAGATAGATAGATAGATAGATAGATAGATAGATAGATAGATAGATAGATAGATAGATAGATAGATAGATAGATAGATAGATAGATAGATAGATAGATAGATAGATAGATAGATAGATAGATAGATAGATAGATAGATAGATAGATAGATAGATAGATAGATAGATAGATAGATAACTTGGTTGCAAGCTAAATATTATTAGCTTGAAAGCTTAATATTTAGTTATCACGCTAGTTGATTTACAAACAAAATATTTAGCTCGTTAACTATTTAGGAAATAAATCGAATATTTAGCATTTTACTTGCTACCTGAATATTTATATATTTAAAGTCCATCTTAATATTTAGTTAACAAACTATACTGCTTACAAACCAAACTTTTAGCTCGCTAACTATTTAGCTCCCAAACTAGATATTTATTTCGAAAGCTATTTAGTTTACAGACAAAATATTTAGTTTTTATTTTGCTAACTGAATATATATATATATATATATATATATATATATATATATATATATATATATATATATATATATATATATATGATACTATTAGTAAAAACACCATTACAATAATCTAGCACTACTAAAATACATCAGTTTTTCTTTATCCTGAATTGATACAAACACTTAATTTTGATAAAATTTCAAGAAGAAAACTTGATTTAGTCATAGATTTTAAAAGGTTGTAATTAAGTAGGTTTGGGATTAAAATATTTAAATTTTAATGTTTAGTTATCACGCTAGTTCTCTTGAAGTTTTGAAGAATTTGTGGCCAATCCCTAAATAAACAACCCAAAGAAAACAGGCGAGCAAAAAGAAAGAAAAGAGTTAATTTTGTGATAAGAAAGCAAAAAAGTGCTTTATTCATGAAAACATCATACAGTCACAAACATTTTGTTGATTGGCATTATCAAAATAATCAATAAACATCAAATATGTTGATCAATGTTCCATTTATTAGTAATTATCTTACTTGAGTATAAAGTTTGGGTTCTCTGTCCTCCTCATGTTAAATAAATGTTAATAAATTACATAACAAATTAACTAAAACATTTTAAGTTGGACAAAAAAACATAAATAAACAAAATTAGTACATGAAACACTTTAAAGTTTAGAGAGGTAACTATTATTTCCATTGGTTTCCAGGATTTAACAATGAATCAGCTGATTTTTGTGTGACTGAGGAACTTAGACTGTCCCAGATTTGGAAGAATTAGTCTCGCTTTTGTAAATAATAAGAACAATTCTGCTAACAGTAATAATAAAACCCCCTACGTGACTCCTGAGCACGCATAATGCCAATTTAAACAGCATATTCCGTGACACGCAGCCTTTCAAAATAAAAACATTCCTGAGCTCTTATGCAACCTGCGCTTTAACTCAGCCACTTATCCGGCAGCGGGCCAGAGGTTCACACGCAACGCCGTGCAGAGAAGCTGCAAAACCTTCCAATCAGATACCACAACAAGCCTTTCTCACATTAAATAGCTGTTCTTGCAGCGCAGCTACCTGGAGAACAAACAGACTGGCCTAAATGTCTCTGCAAACACCTGCTGCTTGCATGGGAAGGAAACTTTAAATGACAGAGCGCTGCAAATTAAAGCTTTATTTTTATTGACATTAATAAAAAATACTTTAAAAAATGGAAGTGAAAGATGAGACGGTGGATGCATGAAAAGAAAATATAAACCTGTAAAGGTGGAATTTCCCCTCTAATGTGAAGGGGAAACAGAAGTGATATGACTTCCTTCATGTTTCCAAGAAAGAGTTGAATATTTTTTGGCATTTGTCACTTTTCTTCACCACCCTTAATTTTATTTTTTTGTTTTATCATTTATCTACCTGTGGCGTAAATGTTCAGCTGAGGTTGTTAAACTTTTAGGTCCGGAACGTTTCTGCTTTTCTCAGTTTGAGTCTCACGGTTCCTTTCAGCTGGAAGTGTGTCACCGGCTCAGCAGTGACAAAATTTAAAGTATAATTTACAATTAATCGGATTATTGGAGGATTAAAATTCCTTCAGTGAAATTATCTCACTTGAAACCTTGTTAAATCGTGTTTACGTTGTTCTATTTAGCGCCTTGTGTTCCGACCGGAGTTATTTTTTGTTGCTCTCATTTCCGCCGAAGAATGCTAAGTGTTATTAGCATCACATAAATCTTCTTTAATCACGGGTTTTCATCGTTTTTCTGGGGTTTAGTTTTTGTGCGTACAAAGGTGTAAATATTAATTGCTTACTAGTACACTAAATCTCTAACTGGTGTTGTAAACCTATTTTTAAATGGACTGAAATTGCGTTTATCACGGTGGGCGGCCAGTTTCACGTAATCGCTTATTTTCTACCATCGCAAGCAACTTACAGGTGCCAACCACCACCTGCTGTACATGTTACAGGTTGTATCTCAACAGGAGATATAACCTATTGTGTATTAAACAACACACAAGAAATTAAAAAACAGGATATGGTTTAGAGCTGCGATGATTCGTCGAAGGTTCCCTGAAGCTTCTTTATTTAGTGTCGTGTTTCCGGCCGGATAATTAATTATGTTGCACAACGCTTCAATGGTAAGTGCTATTAGCACAACATACATCCTTTTTCTCCAACATTTAATCGTTTTTGTGGGAACTCGTGTTTTTCTGTGTCTAAAAGTATATTTGTCGGCCTTGTGCTGTATTATCTTTATTATTAAATTGAACATAATTTCACATTTTATTTGTTTAATTTTATTATGAAGTATTTCTTCTATTATTTGAGTAAAATTTCTGGATTTTCTACCCACTGAATGAAAAACAAACATGTTTAACCAAAAATTCCCCAGACACAGACCTGCAGTTTTTGTTAAAGTTTTATGAGTTTTTTTATTGAAAGAAACTGATTTTGACTTGTTTTTAATTTTACTGATTTCATTTTCTTTGTTTCTTCTATGAATTATTGTCATTTTGGTCCTTAAAATGCCAAAATATCCACTTTATCACTGATGATGTAATTTTATCAAATTGATAATTTGATCAATACTCAGTACTTTAATACATTTTTTTACTCTTACTTGAATAATTTCTTGGACGGCTACCTTTTACTTTTACTTGCGTAAAAATTAGTTGAAATATTTCTGGGTTCTCTGCCACCTGCATAGGGTCTGCATTGTGTCTGATAACCAGAACTCTGGCAGCCATTTTGTTGCCCAATCAGAACTTTATTCTGCTACAGAGACAAACTCTGGCCACACACTGTGGATGCCAGATTTTAATCAAAGTTTAGGAATGTCTACTGTTTAAATACAGAAGCATTGGTGTGTGGGATGCACTCGTCAGCTGCACGTACACATAAACAGAAGCAGCACGGTTATGTAACGCTCTCTCTCTGACAATGCGGTGATATGATATCCTTCCTTTCTGGGTCTATATAAACCATCTGTTGGGGATGTGACTGTTTAAATCTGCTGCAGCTGCATGCATCAGTAGCTGCACAAGTCCAGGTGGGTTGAAGTTGTACATCTTCTTAGCAGATAGATGTAATCGAAAAAGAGGGAATGTTCCTGCCAGTGAAAAGATTGGACCTCCCATGGTTGTCGGGCAGATTGCCATTGCTGCTGTTCTGATGCACCTGAGTTGCTCTGACCGGAGACTGAACCGCAGCAGCGGGAAGCAACGTGGAGGATCAGCCACTGATCTGCAGAGGCAACAGGGTCTGCTGCAACCAACAACTATTTTATTTATGGGTTAATATATATACATATATGTATTGGGAAAAAAATTAAATAAAATCTGGAAAATAATTTGAATAAAACTAATTTAAAAAATTACTTGAAAAAATCTAATCTGCTAAAGATATTTAAAGAATAAAATTTGAAAAATAATTAGAAAAGATAAAATATCAGAAAATGACTTAAAAAATAGAGTCTGAGAAACTGGAAAATAAAACTATATAAAAATGAGAAAATAAAATCTGAAACAACTCTTAAAAAAATAATAATTAAAAAAAATATGAGAAAGAAGATGAAAAAATGAAATATGAAAAATAGTAAACTGCTATTTTTCATACCATTTAAATATGAAAAATAGCAGGTTTTTTCATATTGTGTTTGCAGCTCACTTGCTGCAAACACATTGTAAGTTACTCTCAAAATGTATTACAAGTTTCCTTGTCTTTCCTCTTTAGAAGAGTGGATAGAAGAAGCTGGATTCTGTCAAATTATATTCATGCATCAACAGGAAGAAAAAGTTGGATTTTACTGAAAACTATGCATCTCCAATAAACAAAATTTCAACATTTTATGCAACTTCAATAATCTGGACCATAAACAATCCGTTTCCAAACTTAAATCTAAATATTGTGTTTTTCAACACAAATGGATCCAAGATTAAGCACAGAAGCAAATCATTGCAGAATGATTTATTGGAGAGTTTTTCAGCTTTGGACATAATGACCCTGCAAACAACAATAATTCACAGCCAACAGTTGAATATCAGGCCTTCAGAGCTGCTCTCTTATTAACATGTCATGGATTACATCATTTTATTTCATACAATGTCTCCTCTCATTCTCCTGCTACTTAATCTGCCTGATTGCTTTGCAGAGACACGTTAGGGTTGAAAATATGTTCCTGCAGCCGCATTCCCGATATTCCCGCTGTGCAACCTCGCATTCCTCCGGATAATCACACGAGGAGCAGGATTAAAGTTTCTCCTGCTGCAGCCCAAGTAAAAATCAAATGTCTGCATACTTCTAAAACATGAAGCATAACGTTTGTGTCAGTTACTGTTTTTTTCCTCTGACTGTCGGATCCCTTGCAGAGGTTAAGTAGAGGCTTTCCAGATGTTGATTTAAACAGACATGACTTCATATGGATTTTATGCGTCATTCCTGCTTGTTTATT